CAATACAATACAATACAATACAATACAATACAATACAATACAACCTTTATTTACTCATATTCAGTGAATAACAAAGCTCTGAAGTCAAAGAATAGTGCGTTTAAAAATCCTGATAAAAAACTGCTGAAAAATTATAAGAAAATATTCATTGATGGGGTGTTTTTGTTTTAATATTGAGAAGATTTGTAGAACATAGATCACAATGAACGAAAAACAAGTGCTCGCTTGAAACCATTTTGCAGTAGGGTCTCTTTTTGGTTCATTCTAGTTAATGCATATTAGTTAATATAAAGAGATTTATAGAACAACAGGAGTTAATAATGCGGGGATCATATAGTAAATGGCGCGGAATCGTTGGGAAACCTATTGTTCTAGGAAATTGTTCGACTTTATCCATTGTTATATGACGTTGACCGTGCACAGAGAAGAAAAAAGGTTCTGCACTTTGTTTATACTATTAGGGAATATAGAATTTTTTCCCTAAAAAATCGTTTTAAAATAATAAGAAAATCAGTATTGTCAGTCATACTTGTTTTGGTTCATTGTGCACGGTCAGTATCACATGATGGTACGGTTCAACATCAAAAGCAAAACAATGCCTTTATTCTATGGAGTTTCTAAGCCATTCCGCTCTACTAACTATGCGCGGATGTATGTGTAGTTCAACCTTCAACGTCCTTCCAAACAATTACAAACTCACAGTTGAGATCAGTACTCCTAAAGATAACCTTAAAAACTTTATTCTTTTTACATTTTTTACAGTTTGTATTTATATAAATTTCATATTATTTCCGATATTTTCTGAATTAATATATTCATAATTATCTCTCCAGGGACCACTATGATGGTCACAGACCGGAAAGCACTCTTAATTATTTTTTTTAAAACAATCTTTCCTATTACATGAACTGAAACCAGGAGATTAACATAAGCTAGTATTCAGACAACATACATATACTAAAAGCGATTCGGAGTTTTTTCAATATTATTAAGACTTTCGCGCTTTGCTATACCTTGCATATATTTCTGTTATCCTAGCAACGCATTTTGCTCAAAAGCACGAAGTAAGCACGATCGACCTAGTGTGTCTAGAGAAAGGTAAAAAATAAATATTCATCAACCAAGATGGATGCCAAGAAAGCGCTCGAAGAAACCTCAAAGGAAGAAGAAGAAGAAGAAGAAGAACCTTTGAAGCAAGCGGAGAAGACTGATATCATAGGGTTTCTATGTATCGCAGTCCTCACGTACATTATTTACTCTTCAGTACTTATCTCAGCACAAGACATCCTCGCTTCGACTGGTATTCCATCAACCTCGATAATCCTGTGTTTAAACACTCCATATTTCATCATGACCCTACTTCTTCCTTATTACATCGATAAGCTGTCCCTGATGAACAAAGCTATAGCCTCTTCTGTTCTTTTTGGTGCCGGACTACTACTAATAACACTTATACCTAATCCTGGTCTACGACTTATAGGAGTCGTTGTGTCTTCTCTGGGAATGGGTACTGCTGAGATTGGTTTTCTATCTGCAACGTCCTTGCATCAAGAATTAACAGTACATTCTTTCACTTCTGGGACTGGTATTGGATCTGTCATTGGTACAAGTTATATCTCAGGTAATTATAGAATGATTTTGAATGATCTTTTCTCTGACTTTATTGAGCTTAGTAGGATATTATAATTAGTGGACTGGAAGTGTTCTTTTGGTGTGGATATATGATTAACATTGGCATACTAGCAGCAGCACATGCTAATATGAAAAATCTACGTCTTAATAATTAAGTGTATGAGTATTGCACTGGTGTCGGCCAGAGATCCCCGCAGCGTGCTGGGAGAGGGGGGAATCTCTCTAGCTTGATCACCCAGGAAAAAAAGTCTTACTTGCTTTGGGTTTTATGGTACAGAATCATGTATTGTCATAAGGATTCCCTGTTATCTCGATATAGAACTGAATAATCTTTAATTTTTCTCTCTCATTCTCGATTTTTTTTTGTATCTAACAATAAATAAAATTGGACCATAAGTTTTAAGGGGGCTAGTTAATCCCCAATCCTTCGGCTTCTTAGGGACCGTTCATTATTTAACTGGGGGAGGGGGCTGGGTTAGAAATTGGAAAAGGCGAAGCTCCCTCCCCCAGTCAAATAATGAACGGTCCCTTATGTAATACTTCGTTTCAATAGATGATGTATTCGAATATAAATTATAATATTACTTTTTTCGAACACTTAGCAAAGAAATATAGTGTTTTTAAAAACACTATGAATCTGATATAACTGATAATAATCTAATATAATTACAGAAATGTTGCCTGTTAGAACTAAAACACTAATGATCTGATATAATTACAGAAATGTTGCCTGTTAGAACTAAAACACTTTCTATTGTTTAATTAGCACTATTTACTACTAAATAGTGCAAAGTGTTGCACACTTTTAGTGTTTGTACTCTACAATCGTAATGACTTTATAGGTATAAAAGTGTATAAATATACAATTATGACCAGACTACTATATCAGAATCAAACAGTTATATTATGAATGCAAATAAAGATCAATTGGCCAAATCTGCATAACGGAACGTCTAGACAACACTTTTGAACATAACAGATCAGTACGGTAATCTAAATTCGTCGTCGGCTTTAATAGTTTTAATCGTACTACATACGGCAGTAGCTCAGCTTAGTAAACCTACGAAATTTAGCCACGAATTATCCGTGTGAAAAAGGAGGGATAAACATTAAAAAAATCAGTGAGATTGGGGTAGATGTGTAGCAATAGTAACCAAGCATGAGTTAAAGAACAATATCGATAAACTTAGTTATGAAATTATGAATCATTAATGAGAAGAAAAAAAAAAAAGAAAAAAGAAAAAAACGACAGAAATCACCCATTCACCACAGGAAAAGTGGGATACAATATCTTCCTTATTTGCATTCAACTTTAACAAGAAGTTCCTCTATCAAACTCACTCTAATCATAACTGATAATGATGACATTTTATTTTTGTTTGTTTAGGTATGACGACTTTATTTTGCGTCAATCCTAAAACTACCTTGCAGATCTTGTTAGTTATCCTACCACTCATCCCAATAATAGCCTGGGTAATAACAARAAGGCACGCCCCTGGACGAGGCGCGGCCACTGCACGTGGAAATGACGTAAAGTTTACGCGTATTGGCGAAGAGACGCAAGATCAAGATATGCATATTCATTTGACCTGGAAAGAAAAGTTTCTAGCAGCCAAAAATAACCTGTTCTTGGCTGTACTTCTATTTATTGGACTGTTTTCCGACTACCTCATAATGCAAGGTGTCGTCACTACCATTGCATTTGAGAATTCACCATTCGATCCCCGCAATCATTTCCAGTATTACACACTGTCGTTTTGGCTAGGGGAAATTATTGGCCGCTCATATGGACTCGTTATACTGTCTTTCAAGCCATCCTGCACTGTTGTAACAGAGAAGACCTGGATTCTAACAACGATCATTGCTTGCAACCTGATATTATTAATCTTCGAAAGCTGGTATCGATTTATGCCGAATTTCTGGTTCATCATAGTTTTAGTCATTATTACAGGGATGGCAGAAGGAGCACTCTACCTCAACACCTTTGCAGTGGCGGGAATGGATAACCACGCGCGCTATAAAGAATTTTCCCGCGCTTTTTTGACTGCGGCGTTGCAAGGTGGCATCGTTACGGCTGGTTTAATGGGTCTCGTGGTTGAATCCCAACTGCAAGAACACTGCCGCACTGTTCTCAATCAGGGTGAATATTGCTTCACGCGCTTAGCTCATGGACAATGGAATTCTACATCATCCTGTTTAACAAAGAACTAAAGCGCGACATGACTGATTATTGCGCAGCAACACATTGTCAGAATTGAAGAGTTGTTCAACTATCGAGTATAAGAGCGCCGCTTTTATTATGAGTGGTAAACTTATTGTACTAGCTTACAAACATGAACACCTAATGACATGTCGTAAGATGGAAATGGCTTGCCATTTTCTACCTTTAATTCAAACGCGTATTTACGGCTACGATAAAGACTGCGCCGATACGGTACGGCTACGAATTTATCGTATAGCAATCAGTAGAAACCGCGCTATGCTTAAGTCTCTTATTATACTAACTCTTGTATCATTTTTTCATATTTATCAATTTTTGAATATTGAGTATATTAATATATTTTTGGCCGAGTATGGTGGGTTTGAAATGGAAGCTACTTATTTTACTTAGTAAAAATAATATGAGTCTTTTGTATCGCATTGAGTTATTTGTAAACTAACGCGCACTTCATATATCGTGATTTCACATTTGTACTCACATTGGTACATAATAAGGCACCATTGTTATCACTATCACTGTTATATTTTATCAGAATTTTCCCGCTGAGTTGACTTTCAGTACAAACTCAAGGTCAACCAATCAGAATTGAGGATTTAACATTGAATTTTGATCAGCATTTCCTATGATTCAGCCACGACAACCTATTAAATACAAGTTATTCCTTCTTTTAATTGATCGTAAACTCTAGTCAAACTTATGGCTAAATTTTATTCAAATTAACAATAAAAGTYCACGTATTGTAGACTCAGAACTGAAATGCTTGGAAAATGCTAACTAACAATAGTTGACCCACAATTCCTTTCAGGGAACGTGATCAGCTCGTTTGGATCATAATTATTTCTAAGAAATTCCCATTTACTTTGTACTACACAATTTCTTATCAAAATTCAAGTTTACTAAGCGTGTAGCTATGAATAGAGGATATATAGTTAGATGTTCTTTAATATTCCATTTTATAGTTCTGTTCAGTGACTGTGGATAATAGTTCCAAGTCGAGGCTGGCGTTTCCCGATAGCAAAACTAATATTATACTCTTAATCATGTGCAGCAACTCTAACCTTGGCTTGGACATATTATCCTTGGTTACTCAGTGAATGGAAATGTAAAATGGAGTATTATCTTAGCTTGCGATCACTTTTCATTTATGCTACAGTTTCTTAATTTGTTTCCTAATCATGAAACACATATGATAAGATTTGAACGTACATGTAAATGAGAAGTTTGCACCTCTAGCATTACATTTTAGATATTAATTCAATACAAGAGAATATTAAGTACTTCATATTCTCTTGTTCAATACCAATAAGATATCATCATTCGAAAGAGCATCTTACCTCAAATAGTAAAAGTTGAAAGTTTGAGATTGAAATTCCGTAAGTGAACAAAGGTATTGAAGCCTAACAATTGCATATTTCCGTATGGATTCAAACGTCTACGTTGTTGCGCATGTGACCGGCTTATATACTTATCTAGCTTAGCCTTTTTAGCCTTTTTAGCTTAGCAAACAATATCATTGATCAAGCAAAAAAATTATCGTACTCATATATACATATAKGTTATGAGTTTTTTGGTATCCTTAAATATCTACAGTCAGTGAGATCCTTTGTAAGAAGTGAAACGTCTACAGACAATCTTTCGTTGGAACCATTTTTCTTTTTAACTCTTGCTTTCCTTTTTGTCTCTTTCTCAGGTTCCTTGCGCTTCGCTTTGTTGCTTTCTTGTGTATAAATACTCGATAATTTAAAAGGTGGTAAGATTTTAGCTAGGGGCCTCTCTTCTTGAACTTTCTCCTCTTCTACCCGGGACACCCTTCTTCTCTGTGCATCCGAAATTCGTTTCTCTAACGCTACACTTTCTGATTCCCAGTAGTTTCGTCTGAATGACCCATTTTCTGGACATAAATAAAATGGCTTCTCTTCGTACGGTTTTGGCCTCGGTTTTGCTTTTTCTAACTGAGATAAACTTTCGGAAAGGTTTCGGATATCTTCGGCACTGAGTCCAGCTTGCTTGCTTGAGATAAAATCAGAATTTCGTCTTGAAAAACGAGGTGAATTCGTTACTGAACATACATGGAGGGGATTTGGCAGACTTGACCTCTTTTCAAATAGATGCCTCCCAAATTTTCGAGCTGCTAGAGGGGAGTTCATTGGGCTATGTTGTTGTGAAGCTAGTCCTCCTCGTAATTCTTTATCAAGAGTTCTTGACCCTTGTTCCTTAGGACGTAAACGCAGTCGATCATCCTTTACAAAGGTTCCCACATCTTTACATGTCAAAGATCGCGCTCGAAAAAATCCCAAATCTTCAACTTTAGCATATAACTTTTTTCTGCTATTATCCATCTTGGTAACCGAATGTTCTTGCGATTGTTCGTTTTGGCCAGTTAGCAGGTCCTCTTTCTCCTTTTTCTTTGACATGTAGCTCATATTTAACTCTAGCACTTCTGTCTTAAGAGTGTTGTATTCTTTAGGAACTTTTCCACTGTTCTTAACCATTCCACGAATAAGAAAATTTCCAGTCTGTCAAAACTGAAAACAGCTTCCCTTGAAATCTGAGAAGAATATTTAAATGCGATGAGTTTCTATTTTTTCACAGACTCGTTTTAATTAAGAAACTTTACAGAATTAGTTGTTTCGTGCTGTAGGCTCCAAGTGCTAACGTTTGTATAGCGAGTGGCTTAGAAAAGCTGTCGCTAGGGGCGTATTTATTGCTATCGTCTTGACAAGCATGACTGAAGGTACGTGCAATGCGTGATATAACTAACTGGCATAGCACGATCATCAGAACAAAAGCAACTATTAAATGATCTACAGTCCACACTGATCGTAATCCACAAGAGATTTACAGTAATCGTTGTTTGACGTCATCATTATTATATTCACTTGACAAAAATACTAATGGGTGATATCCATTGACGCGGTGATAATAGCGCTAGATGACCTGTCCTAATACATCACGACACTAGAATGCAACTATACTAACTATATTCTAACTGACTTTGGATTTCCAGAAATTATACGAATTATAATTCTAGTGACATTTATTATTTTTCGTGAGCTGCAAGTAATTCGTCCCCGGAAAAGATGATTTCGAGGTTATCTTTTACTTGGGATAAAATCAACCTGGTTATTTAAGCGAACATCAGATTGAGTCACGTATGCTAGCTTGTTGTGCTCTCTCTTAGAACTGATCTGACTTATAAATTTATATATATGCTAGACTTCAATTAAAAGTTTGTCTTTGTCAGTGACGCGAGTTATTTCTTGTGTAAGCATTCGTCCTTTGAGCAGATTTTAAGGCAATAAAACGATGTGGATCTCGTATGTTAATATAATTTTCGTTAGTAAACCTTGCCACAGGTCTACATTTAAAAAATATTTTAAAGTATTAAAAAAAACTATGAATTTTACAAGATTTACCGGTCAATATTTGACCCTGTTCGACAATAGCAATATTTGTAATCATGTAAATGTTAAGGAAGCTCTCATGAAATCTGATGAACTTTGTTTGATTGTCATGTCATGGTTAAAATTAATCATCATCTTTATCTTCTTTATCTTCTTTTCTTTTCACCAAACAAGTAGGTACTTATTAGCGTCAAGTGGTGCCACGACATATCCTTCTTGACATCTTAGGATGATATAGCTTATAACTGGATTTTACTCACGGTAATGTACCGAAGAGTATTTCGTTATGCTCTGACCACGCCCTTCATTAGGTTGCAATGGTATCAGTGGATCATTAAGAAGAAAATAAAATCGTGTTTCCAATAATTGGTCTTATCAGTATCCTAACGTTTATCAGATTTCTAAGACCCTAAGAACTCGTTACTAGAGAGATAGAAAGTTAACATTCAAATTTTGAATTGATTTCCCCACACCATAGCTATTAAACAAATTAGCATAAAACAAGCCTGAAGTTATTGAAGGTTACCGATGAATCCAGAAGCTTCATACCAACGGATCGGGCACTTAAAAAAGGGTGCTTGTAAAAGAGCCAAGTGAAGTTTATATAGTTCATATCATTCCTAATGATCAAATGTATCGTTGACGTCACAGCTATTAAACTCGAGCCTGTGTAGCTTCCTGCGCTGTCGAGCATTGAGCAGTGGACTGTTTAGCACGTAAACTTGGTTTCAATATTCTTAGAAGAACGTTGTTCACCACTAACGGAACACCAAGTCAATAGCAAAATCATGCAAAACTTAGATAGATTTACTGCGCAATGAGCAAGCTAGCACCGAGAAGTCTGCAGAGCTGATTTCCGTGAATTCCGGGTTGTGCTCTGATCGATGTCATTCAACGTCGAGATTCTGTTACCTTGACTCGACCCTGTTAAGGTAAAAAGTCGTGATGTGACAATAGGACAAGTGCGTGCAAGGTATCTAGTATTCGTTCTCTCTCACTCCTGTAAACGCAGGTCGCGAAGAAATCTATGTAAACAATGATTCCAAGAGCTCTTGAGATGTCATGGAAAATAACAGCCGACGAGCTATTTGATACTTTAAGAACTGGATAAGATGATCCTGTTTGATCCATCCAATCTTAGAACGCTTACTAAGCCAGAGACCACTTCATAAGACCCGTCATTCTGTTGCGATGTTCATAGGGAAAGGAAAATCACTTAGAGTAACAATGGAGAGGAATACCTTAAGAGCAACTACTCCTCTTGTATCAGATAAAGTGGCAAAGACCATCATAGCAAGAAATGCACTTTATGAGAAAGAGTTAGCAGGCGTCTGCAAATCAGTAGAGAAAGAGAAGAGCTACTGCGCGGTAAATTTTCGAAAGTCAAAGAAAGACCTGATAAGGAGCATAGAAATCAAGGAGTCTGCAGAGTCCAGCAAGAAAGTCTGCGTTCTCGAAAAAGACAGTTCTGGAGCTGTGTTCGAAACTGAATCCAGAAGTCGAAGCTCTTCGTTACCAACAAGTTTGAGCTTGCGACGTGCAAAACTGCATTTGAGTAGATCTTCGTCGCTGTCGATTGAAAACAAAGCCAAACAAAATGGCAATTTTAGTGCGCGGAATTGCAATTCGATGTACGAAGGGTACATACCTCATTCGCCCTTATCGCGAAGGCGTGCAATGCAGGCTGTACAAAGTCCTGATAGCCCAACGTCAGAAGTGCAGTTTAATCTCAAATCAGCGTCATTTCAGATAGAAGACAGCAAAGATGATGTTTACGAATCACGGCAAAGCGTATTCGATGCCCAGAGCTTTGGATCAAGCCCAACAAACAGTCAGACCTCTGATACTGACTTTGATATACCTGAGATCCTTGTATCTGAAGTTGATGGCCAACTGAACGAATCTCCCCAAAGAAAAACCTCTTTAACAAAGAGAAGTTACAGCACAGGAGACTTGCATGATGTACTCTCAGATTCTAAGAAACAAACACCTTCACCTTGCTCTTCACCGCGGCTTTTGAGAAGAACATTAAGCTCGGGTATCAATTCTGACTCCTCACAAGAAAATTTGACAGAATCGAGTAAAAACAAAACAAAGTATGGATCGCTTGATGAGTCGTTATTCCAAAGGTTTAACGATATGTTGTTGGAGGCAAACGTACCGCAGAGACCGAAGCCAAGACCTAAGCTTTACACTGAAGAACCGTTTTATTTGCGTAAGAAATGCGTGATTAGACGTTGCTTACAGAATAATACAGACCTGCCAGTTAAGCTGGGTGTTTGTCAGAGCAAGGAGAAAAGCGAACCAGACGGGGAACGACCGCTGGCTGAGATTTTACCACCAGTCGCGCTACCACCAATCTATACACAGCAGAACAATAGAAGAAAAGCGACTGGGATGGATAGTGAAAAGAATAAAAGCAAAATGACTGGGATTAAAAGAACAGATGCTGTTAAAATTGGTATGAATAATCCAAGACTTACTGAAAATCTTAATGATTGTAGATATTTACGAAATCAAACGAAAAGATCGATGACCGAGTAGAAGCCAATTCGATATGAACGTGAAATGTATATAAAACATAGCTTGTTCAAACTTATTCTACTCTTTCTGAGGGGTGTGCGCACATAAAACTTCATACTTTCAGTTTATAGGTCTCCAATTATAGGTAAGGTGTTTTAAAACCAAATGAGTCAAATAGACCAAATCAGAGAGATTTTAAACAAACGATTGACATTGAAATCATATTGGTTCCTCATCTAAAGCAATTATTTGGCCCTTGAGTCAAGAAGTATTACCTCTACTAAATTCTATAATCGTACGGGTTTTTTATCCTAACATGCATGAAACTCCTGAAAACAAACTGAGCGCATGCTCGGAGCTTACTGTAAGTCTATCTATATATCTCAACTGACATATTGTTAATAAAGGCTTACATTTATATTATAACATTAACATGGGGGAAAGTCTTTGACCAAAGTATGGGGTATATTTTTCATTTAAGAGATTCGCCAAGACAAATATACAATATGTACATCAGTATCTGACWGGGAATACTCGAGTAGGATATTCATGTGTTCCAGTGAAGGTCCGTGGAATTTCAAAGTGTACGAACTATGAGGCTCAGTTCACCATTTTTAAAGGCAAGCATATTTTTACCACATGTATAAATTTTCTTGCTTTCTGATTGGTCTAGAGCCGGGGGAGATAGGAAGACATACCAATAAATTATACGTCAGCAAAACACGCGCGCGCTTGAAATCGTTTTTATTTCGAGTTTTACACTTGTTTTCGTTGTAAAATTGTTAATTTTCTGTGGTAAAAAACAAAGTCCTTCAAATCCTCGGCTACGCCCCGTGAGTCCACAACATTTTAAGTGTTAGATGAATCGGGGTAAATAAGAGGACAAGTTGGAATTTGGAGTCCCAGTCTGGTCATGCTAATGTCCACAGGAATCGACCCATAGCCGACTTTGAGAAGGGCGCAGTCTTCTGCTTGAGGATATGCCTCTAAACATAAAATCATAGATCATTCATATATACATGCATCTTCTTAAGCATTTTGTCAGACAAAGAAACACTGCTCAAGAGAATGAAACGTTTCCTAAAAATAGAAGACATTAGGTTTTAACTGAAATTGTAGCCTTCTTTGCACCGCGATTTTGCAGAGGGAGAGGGGACCGACTTTTCCTCTTTGTCTTCCATTGAACGTGACTTCATCGCTGCCATGTTGGTTCGTAGTATTTAGAGCTCGTTTTTAGTAGCCTGCGTGACATCCGGAATTTTCTTCGAAAAATGTTTTCCCAACATAGCTACCCGGTCAGTATTTATCTTTTAGCTCATTTTTCAGACTTTTTATAAGAATTGCGAACATCTACATCTACATCTACATTTTATTTAGTTGGTAAAATTATTGGATATCGTCAATGAACCATAAATATATCAAAAATAATATACCAGTACCAGTTCTTAACAATTTTTTCCAAAAACTGCTTTCTAGTCATACAAAACATTCAGCAAACTGATCATGAACGACACATAACATGTCGGATCGTATGCTGGAACAGATAGCAGAAGATAAGATCGAGAGTGGATGTCTGACTGAGATTAAAGGGTCATTACACTAGAGAAGGGGTGAAAAAACTACTAAGCATTGATAAGCCGGAAAGTGCTTCAGGTAAGTCTTGTAGGGAATTTTAATCTGGCTATAAAAGTTTGCGCATCTATATTCATTACTTCCCAAACATTTCCCCCATTGTGTTCAGTTTTTTATTTGAAAAAATTTCCACTCAATCAGCTTGTTAGTGCAATTACTTATGGTAAGGCGCAAGCAAAAAGGAAGCTGCTGAGTGGGTCTCATGTGCAAAGTAACAACACGGAGACGTGAGAGGGTTGTTAGGAGAAACACAAGTGGGAGATAGCGATACGATAATCTGGTTGATCCGCGCCGCTTGATTGTTTTTTGTTTGTATGTTTCAGTAGTTTTTCAATTTWAAAAAAATCACTAAATAAGTATTCCGGACACGTTGATTGTCATTGTGGTAATATTGCGCTTTGTCTTGCCCTGCGCCAAAATTCTGCTATCAGAGATTTTATTTTTTTTCTATATTCTTGACTCACACTCGATTGACACGCGGCTGGATTTCACGTGTAATCACTGACTGTATCACTATTAGTCTAATGTTGTGTCAGATCACTTAATAAAGAAGCAAAGTCTACAAGTGTTTATCTTTTTACGCGAATTAGAGTTAAAGCCGTCGCAGGAAAAAAACAGATAAAGATAGCTCAATGTTTTTACTCATTTTTAAGACTAAGGATCATCGAAGAGATAATTGCTGAAATTTTGTTCTGAATCAACACTGTTGTTCCGGATTCATTAACTTCCTACAGTAAAAACAGAGCTTGTACTTAACGTACAGACAGACAGACAAACCATGTCGTAATGTATGACACAGTAATGATAAAAAGGTATTATTTACCTTTTTATCATTACTGCTTCATTAGAAACACCGACGCAGCTCACACTAGTTTTTAGCTAGTTATATCTTCGTAAGGTATGACGTAGGGTATGACGTAAGCACTGCGATGTTTTGAACACCGAAGAAATTTCTTTAGTCGATCTTTTCACCAATCAGGTCCGCGGTAGAGTAAAAGGCATTTGTATAAACGAATACTTCGGTCGCAAACGTAAAGATGACGCATTTACTGCCCCAGGCAGAACCGTTGATACTATGTCAAGTGTCAACGCCGAAGTTTTTGCAAATTAGCTGGTACTAACAGAGGGTGTTCATGATACCGTTCCGCTCTCAAAAGCCTCGGTGTAATTATACGTCACATGATAATTGACATGTGTTTTGATAGCAACTATAATAAGCCTTTTCATAGTTTAAGAATCGATTCCACTGCGCATGCGATTTTATCCCGAATTTCTCACCTTCTTTTGTTTAATTAAGAACAAAAGAAGGTTTAGACAAAAGAAGGTGAGAATTTCGGGATAAAATCGCATGCGCAGTGGAATCGATTCTTAAACTATGAAAAGGCTTATAGATGGCAAATGATCGTATGTCTTTTTCTTATGGACACTTTGACACGAAGCTTTGAAACCAAACATTTAAAACTGGTCACGTGAGCCCAGATTAAAACAGCTTAACTTATTTTTCGACCAGTTTTATACAGAAAAATACTCAATTATAGTCTAAAAAATTATACCTTTTTTTTCATTTTTCCAATCCATTTTTTTTCGATTTTGATTCCTTAGAAGTCTGGTACCTAATCAATACACGGTCAGGCCAGGCTACCCAGTCTTAAAATGGCGGACGGAGCGCAAGTTTGTACATAAAATCTTTCTACGATATAAAAATGCTTTCTAGAAGGGCTTTTTCAATTCTAATAAACTCAAGCCAGCCTTTAACATCTGTTAACAGCTGCGCAAGTAGTTTTTGGAAAGAAAAATGCCTGTTTAAATCAAGAACTGAAGTGATATTACAAACCACTAGAGGGCTGTCATCTTTCCGAGGTAAGAAAGCTACGAAAATTATTGGCTGAAAAATACAATTTGCAATGATTTATTTAATACTTATTCCTTATTTACTTATTTAATCTTCTCCTATAAGCTTAAAGATATCCAAGATTTAATTTATAAAGCTTATTCAAACGTTTTGAGTTCAATTATTGTCTTCGTTTTTTTAGAAAAGAAAAGGTTTTACAAGCGTGCAGGGGTTGAACAATCCAATGGTAAGCATAGGTTCTGTAATACATTAATGTAGAGTAAATAGTGCTCTATAGTTTATTCTTTTAAAATTGAGTTTCTGGACCCCTTGTACACTTCACTTCACTTCTCCCGATTTACAGCATTTGAGGGAAGATGGGGGAGGGAAGAGATACTCAATCTCATATTCATACCATGTAGTTTTCCTATAATTTACCATCCATAATCGAATATAATATGTATATAATATGTATGATATTAATGTTTAACTTAGAAGGTAATAAATGAGATGTTCTTGTATAATTAAATGTTGTTGAAATAAATAAAATGAATCACAAGGTAACATTCAGCCATTTCACTGTGCAATAGTACATACATACATGCTGTAAATCAGTTATAATGGACTATTACCACTGTCTTCCATGCAAATGACATGCAAATAAGACAACAAGCACTGTGCCTACCCGATAGCCTCACTTGTATGATTCTTAAAACATAATATCTCATTGCAGGCTAAACTGTAATAACATATATATAAAATTATTACTGTTATAAAAAACATGCTTGCTGTGCTGTGTGGAGGTATAAAGCACTTGGAGATTGGTAGAACACTCAAGAAGTGTCGAGAAGCCCTCCGCTATGCGTTGTGCTTCTCCTAACACTTCTCTCATGTTCTGCCAATCCCCGCATACTTTATAACTGCACACAGCATGCGCGCACCTTTTTTCATTATATTGATTTGTTTCGTTTCTTCTGACAGAAGGTTACCAGGTAACCCTTGATGAAAGGAAAGTAAAAACCCCAAGTAGGAAACCACTTGTTCTTCCCAGTAAACAGCTTGCCATGGCAGTGGCAGCAGAATGGAATATGCAGAAAGATGTCATTGAAACTTCAAATATGAATTTGGTCAGTATTTTGAAGTTCTCTTAGAAAATATCCATACCTCCCCAACAGAGGGGAATTTCAATGTTCAAGGGGTGGAGAAAGTATGAGGGGGTATATTGTGTACTTCCAAGAAATGTCCATAACTCACCCATTGAGGGGGAATGGAATTTCCAAGGGGTGGGTAGAGTCTGTGGAGTTTATATTAGGCCAAACAAAAAAGTAAGTGCGTTTCCTGTTGTGTAACTGACCCTAATTTTCTTGCCGATCTTTGACAACCCTAATATTTTTTCATTCCCAAATGTACCACAGGGTTTCCAGTACGCTCATTTCCACTGTTGTATCAGTAAAAAAAAAACTGGCCTACCGACCCCAATTATTTTTCTCATGCAACAGGAAAGACACTTATTTTTTGTTTGGCCTTATGTAGTTTCAGGAAATATCCATACTTCCCAATGGAGAGAGATAAGGATTTATAGTATATTTTATAGCTCTTGAAAGGGGTGGGGAGGGTCTTAGGAAGGTATATTATGTAGTTACCACAAAATATCCATACCTCCCCCATGGAGGGGGATTAATTGGAATTTTTAAGGATTGGAGCATATTGTATAGCTCTAGAAAATAACCATACCCCTATGGGAGTACAACACCAATCCCCCATTATAGCTATTAGAAAGGGTTTTTAAATTACAAGAAAATGTTTATTTATTGATTTTTTTATTCCAGACTACTCTTGCCTACATAACTATAGACAAACCAAATCCAAGAACCAAAGCAACTCAAATCACAGAAGTTTTGGAATTCCTTTGCACTGACACAGTTTGGTGAGTTTTTATCATATACTAGAAATTATTGCTATCACAATAGACATCTTCACAGTGCCATCTTGAAAAGTAGCCGTGCCTTTGCATCGAAGCGAGACGAACAGTGAGCTTGTAATGATAGAGACCTTTTTTAACACCTTGAACAATTATTCACATGTTTCTATCATTGCAAGCTCACCGTTCGTCTCGCTTCAATGCACAGGCATGGCTACCTTAAACATCAAAAGCACTATCCTTGTTTAAGCGAGGGTAACACTTACAGGTGTAATAGCCAGTGGCAAACAAACCTGTGGCCCTTGTTCTGTGATCGAATTGGGATTTAGGAGTTGGTTTTTATGGAGGGAGGAAAACCAGAGAAAATCCTCAAAGCACAGGAGAGAACCAACTGGAAACTCTACTTACATGCTAGTGGGGCTCGAACTCACATTTATTAGAGGCAATAGTAATCTCACCACCATGCCACTCTTGCTACCCGATGCCATGAATCAGATTTGGGATTTAAGTGTCCCAAATTGTAACTGATATGCAATACATTTGCAAGTCCTAACTTAATAAATATGTATTGCTATGTAAGTGTATTATATTAATATATTATATAATAATATAGTTGATATTGTTAAAAATGTGAATGTAAAGTAGTGGTCGTTGAACTTAAGGAATTAACACTATATAAATTATAAATTATTATTATCATATTATTATAACTAACCCCCCACTTAGTCCTTTGCAAATAAGTGTGCTATATTTTCAATCATAAGCTCTCCTCCTTCAGAACTTCCAAGGGTGCTTCGCAATCCTTGTATACAACTCTGTATGTATTTTATATTCATATGTCATAGAATTTGTGCTGATTGAGCCTTTCTTATCTTAGTTTTCCAGCATCAGAACCAGAGGATCTAGTGAACTTACAGAAACAGGAATGGGAACCCATTATTGCATGGTTCAATGCAAGGTTCAATGCAAGGTAGGACTGAAATAAACAATTTTCGTTGACATAAGGGTGTCAGCTCCTGTATTGAGTACTGTATATGGCTATGATGTATACAGGCTATTGGAAAATTCTAATAAACACTGAAAACATAAGCTGTTGTACTGATATCAAGTTCTTACTGTTTATTGGTAAATTTAGTGGCTTTTGATTGCGAGGGGAGGAGAGAGAAGGGGATGGGAAGGAGAAGAAGAATTTCCACCTTTTTCACTTTAACATTTTTCTCCTTTAGATTTGATGTGTCTGTAGAAAGTTTTGGTAATTTACTGGTGCCATCTATACCAAAAGATACTACAAGCAAACTAACTTCACACTTGATGACAGTTAATGACTGGGCCATGACAGGTATGATAAGAATAATTGTACTACTGGGTTCCCTGTGTTAACACAGGGAACCCAATTTTATTATATAATTATTAAATATATTTAAATATTATTATGAAACAATTACTAGCTATGTAGCATTTAAATGTATTTAGTTATTAGTTGCTAACTAACTAAGAATTCACTCAGGCATTAAACAAACAAAAAACATGATTTCAGTTGTACAAAATGATTGCAATTAGACAATACATCTTTGGCTTTGTTAATTTTCATGGATATATGGCATGCACTCTAATGGCTTTTGTATACAAGCAGTGATTTTCTAAGAAGAATTTGATTACTTCAAGATTAAATAATTTATTGAGTGTCCTGTGTAAACCACAGGAACCCCATAGTGATCTTTTAAGTGACTGTATTATTTTTTCTAGGTCTTGAATACGCAGTCGACACATCAAAATCATTCATAATTGGCATGGCTTTGCTGGAAAACCACATTAATGTAGAGAAAGCTGCATATTTATCAAGGCTAGAGTTAGAATTCCAGGTAATTATGAATATTATTTTATGATACTTCTTATTGATACTGATATTCCATTCTTAATCCAAACATCAAAATAATTATAATTCACAACTTACTTAGTTATCAAATTCAATTAACCTCCCTACCCCTACCCTCTTGGGTTAAACTTTGCCTTTCTGGTCGATATGAACATTTTTGAAGAAGAAAAGAAAAGCAAAAAAAGATAGGTAAAAAAAGAAAAAAATTGGAAAATTGAGGAAGGATACGGGGACGATGCGGGGACAGAGAAATATGACACTCAATGTTTGATATAAAATGACTTTTTATTTTTACTGAAAAAAATGCAGAAACAATTGTGAACATGATAACTGAAAAGAAATTTAAGAAAAAAATATGTTTTTTTCTATATTGTAGATTGGCCGCTGGGGAAGTGTAGAGTGGGCTCATGATGTTGATCTTATGGAAATACGCAGTAGATTAGCAGCAGCATCCCTCTTTTATCACCTCTGTAACAAAGAAATTACCAGCTGAATTGTGTTTGATATTGATAAAGAACTTTATTCAAATTTGATGATTTTGATATCTTTCTCTTGCTTCCTTTTTGTCTGATGCTTTTTTTGTTTTTTTTGTTTAAAAATATTTTCTATCTAATCATCAAAAAATTAGTTTTTCCACTTTCGTAATTTCAAATCCTCTTTTTTTTTGTTTTTTTTGTTTAAAAATATTTTCTATCTAATCATCAAAAAATTAGTTTTTCCACTTTCGTAATTTCAAATCCTCTTAATATTCCTCCTTTCTGTTTTTCTTCTTCTTCCGAAATTCCATACTTTTGACTACATTTTTCAGCTTAATTTTTATGTTAGCCACATACATCTACGTTAGATAGAACTATCGTAATTCTTTTGAGTTTGCAAAATTTTGGTATCCTAGCTCTCAAATGGCTTCAATCTAATGTTTTTATCCCGCCAATCGCATAGCTCCCCTTTGCTCTAATTATCCAATCACAATGCTTGAACACGGAAGCCATTCAAGAGCCACCATACCGCACGTTTCCCACTCATTCATTGTACTGCGAGCAGGAACTTTCATTTTGATTGTAACTCTGTCTACATCCAGCGACATCCTGTTTACACACGCAACTTTGGTATGCGAGAACTATTTTCCTTGGAAGCTACTTGGGAAAACAAACCATGCAAGGTCAAAATTAGCTTTCTTTCTTGACGACATAACATAGATCTAAAAGGAGAAAATTATATTTAGAAAAACATAACGATATTTTTACACCTAACAACTACAAATTCATTCTTTGGTAATCGGATTATTGATGATATTGATCTAGCAACGGATTTTGTAGCTTAGTTTTCTTTTATTAGAAGTGTTTGTTTTGGGATGAGAAGAGAAGCCACGCTATGTCTAGGTTCCCTCAAAACCATCTGCTTAAAAATCATCACTTTTTCATTGTCATTTTCCTAAAAAAAAATCTACAAAACGCAAAATATTCTTTAATAAATTTTGACAAATAATAATACCTTTTTTCTGATTGATATTTGTTATAGTCTTGACGGAATTATTAATTATTATTGATTTTGATTAGAAATTAGGTTTTTCGCGAAACGAAAGACGTCAAAAGTGATTGATCCTTGAAAAAGCTCTAGTCACTTTGTTCAGGGAGGTGCTTTGTTACACGATTTTTTTATTATCTATAATAAACTACTATTACATTTACATTTTTGAAACTTTGTACATTTTGAAGTCCTTTAAATGAAAATTCTACTCTTACAGTTTACTTGAGGGGAGAAATAATGATTGAAGTTTGATTTCCTTTTCGCAGACTTCATCAATGTCATTGTAAACTTCGTGTTATTCTAAGGATATGGATTGGCAGTTGTGTCAAAATGTTGGCTTAGTTCTCCAAGCACTACTTACACTGTATCCTATAGTTTCTTTTTACGCGTTCTTTTTACAACTACTGAACTAGCTAGTCCTTAATCAGATTATAGCTTTCTTCATCGCCTGCTGTGAAGCCATATCATTTTACATCCGAACTCCTTTAGCCAAAATTAATCTTGTCTTGACCTCTTTCGACTCTTTTACCTTCAAGGACTGCGAGTTTTTGGAACTTAAATTGCTCGAGAAAACTTGAATTTTATTCCTACGTTTTTGAGAATATCGATACTGTTGCAGAGCGATTTAGAATCCAGTTTTCTGCAACTTTTTGCCCTATTTCAGATTTCGTGCATGAATCGTGGAATTACAAAACTAAACCCGACTTAGATGATTTAGCAACCATCAGGAGAAAGAAAGGTACATGTGGGTGAATCTAGTAGCTTGTTGTTGGATAAAGGGGCAGTTTATTTAAAGTGAATATTGTGAATTACCAGAAGATGAGTCATAGTTCCAAGACCTGGAATCTTGCAGAAAGGTCTAGAAAGGTCTCCAAAGGTCAGGCAAAGATCTTCTTGACAAGGAGTGCTGGTGAAGAACAACGACTTGCTAAGTTAACGCACCATTTGGACAAAGAAAAAGCAGCCATGGAATCCCAGTTGAGTCATGCGCAAAAACTTCTAATAAAGCGATACGGTGCGGGAAAGGTTGGGGACGGAGGTGGTGAGCCGAATCGGTCATCCCGCGACAGAACCCATACCTAGGACCCAAATTTTATAACAAAAACCCATAATTACGAGAAAAAAGATACGTGTAACGAAATAACGGGACGTGCTCGTGCGGCATCAGGTTCATCATGTGACTTAGACGAAAGGAAATCTAGCGGAAATACTCGAAGACACACTGACATCCCGCGGGTTCACTCGCAAGGGAACGTCTCTATGGGAAAGGAAAAAGACAGTGTTCGTGCGGGCAGAAAGATTTCTTTCAGTGTTGAGGATTTATTGAGGAATCGGCAGTCAAACTGCTCAGGGTCTGATGGAGAGATTTACAAAAATCCTAATAGAAGTTCAATTGGAACTTTGAAAATTGATGCTGACCAAGAAAGAAGACCAAGAGCTGTTTCTGAGATTCTTCCACCAATTAATTTGCCACCAATCTTCACGATGGATGAGAATTCAAAAGCAACTGGTAAATTGAATTCTGGACAAACCAGGATGTTGGTTACTGGGGGCCGAAAGACATATCTTCCTGGAAAAATAAATAGTCAACCCAAGGTGGCTGAACTTGATGGACAGAATAAAGTCCTGACTGGACCTACTCACTCTGTTGCCAGGAAGACACCAAAAGATAGTTGTGCTATCACAGATGATCAAACCATGAACTATGAGCTTGGAGAATGTCGATATCTCAGAACAAGGAACTTAGAAGACTGACTTTTATATTGGACTCACAAACATCAAATATTCTGGGTTGTTTTCCACCGCACCATCTTTACACCATTTTYCCAAATATGATAGTGTGCTTTAATTTTTTTCCGTTGCCAAACTTGGGTTCAAATAATGCACTTTTGGTTCCGGATTAGCGAGACTACACCACCACGGGATCGAGTGTGTTTTTCTGTGTGGAAGTATGCTTTGGTGTACATTTCTGCTAGAGTAGCCTTCTCCTCAGACTACTCGCTAGGGTTTTCATTGCAGTTTGAGAGGGAAGGGTGTCCTGTGGAGAAAACGAAAAAGACTAAAGCGAGCAGGGGAGGGAAAAAGACTAAGTTCCTCAATGCTCAGCTAACACAGGAAGCCCAGTACAGGAAAAAAAGATAAAATTGCAAAGAGACACTTGTGGCAGAGGCTACAGCTATAGCAACCCCCAGTCCCTTTAATACCTGTTTTGAATATTTTTTTTACACAATCAATAATTTAGAAATGTATTTTATTAAACTAGTGATTCTTACTAGCTCTCTAACAGCATTAATTATAAAACATTGGCTATCTCATGCATTTATTCAGACTAGAATATAAAGTAGTTTATAAATTTTAAAAAAATTGGCCACCAAACAAAATAGATATAAATAAATCATAATAGAAATTTGGAAATACGGAATTGCCTCCATAAATGGATGAATTAGCAGCATGAACTTCGCTATCACCATTTTGTCAATCAGTACTGCTGTAACCAATACTAGATCAAATATGGACTTGTCATTCTGCTTTATTTGTTTTCCCATGCATCATTGGCAGAAATGGTTGAATACTGGGACATTTTACATATATTGTCATAGGTTCAGTCTCTCAGTGTAACAAACTGGTAACGTGAATGATGATTGACAATCTGTATACTGTACCAACACCAATATGTAAATTGAGCAAATGATTGAATCAAACATGGTAATCACTTTGAAAACTGTTTGACGATTTGCGTGATGGTCACAGCCACACCAACAGCTCCTCCAACAACACCAAACAATTGTAGCAAATAATTCTTGGCCACTGTAAGCTTAGAGTTCGTTTCTTTCAGGAGAACATTGTGGAATATGCAAGGGAGTATGAAACCAAGGGTTGAGCTGCCGAGAGAGCCACAGAGGGCACCAACATATGCAAAGTCATCCTTCAGTGCAATTGCCACTCCTGCAGTTAGGAGAACCAGTAATGTTCTGAGGACATTCTTGCGCCAGTTTGGTTTCTGAAATGGAAAAACTCAAGATTTRATATAAGTATGAAAATATTCAGTTTTTGTAACTACAGTGGTTTGAGTAAGATCACTCCACACCCTTCTCAAACTGTCCTCACCCCTCAGAAATTCCAATCCCCCTCCACTGGGGAGATATGAATATTCTTTGGTACTACACAATATACCCTCCTCAGTCCCTCCCCACCCCTTGGTAACTCCAATCCCCCTCCATGGGTGAGGTATGGATATTTTTTGGAACTTTGCAATATACCCTTCTCAGACTTTCCCATCCCCTTGGAAATTCCAATACGCCTCCATGTGGGAGGTATGAACATTTTCTGGAATACTACGAATAAGGAAAATATTTGACCAACCTTTTTCATTGGCTTTTTCATCTTGTTATCTGTAGCAGACAACAACTCTGTTGTCTCATCGATATCATTAACACAGGCAATCCCAGGTCCAATAGAATTGCTATCAATCAATTCCTCATTAACTGGCTCATTTTCAGATGTATCTTGATCCCCATCATTCTGTCCCTCGATGTCTGAAGGAGGTTTCTTCACATTTCCATCTTTAAAAATATAGCTCTCGATAACCTCTGTTATCGGATAGAGCTGTAATGGATAGGTGAAAAGGATTGCTAGGCATAAAAGGATCTGTACTATGATTACTAAGGGTTGACCTTGTGGAAGCATTTGTGTTGAAATCTGTTCAGTAGTGTCACCATAGACGAGATATCCAGCGATACCAAAACCACCCAGAATGAGAGAGATGATTCCAATAGCTAGATGGAGGTAGAGAGGATAGCGCTTTCTGTTGTCTCCCATGCTGGTCTCAATTGGAATCAACTTGAAACAAATAAAAAAAATGGTCGTAAATGGGAGACGAATTTGAGACTTCACAATTAGACAAGACAGAAACTTGATGTATTTATAATGAGCATAAGGTGTTGATACATTTTTGAACCAATTGTTAGCACTAGAGTTCTAAGTTCATTGTGAAAGCATCATTCTTTCTTCTTTTAAAAGGCTAGTACAGAACTTTACGAGTGCATTAATTAAAATTTTTCACTTCAAAACGCAATTTCATTTAAAAGCACTGCACATTGATCAATTTTTTTCATTTGACTTGTCTTTAAAATGTGCTAGTATCTTATGCTTGAATTTCAGCTTGTTATTATTGACGATATAAAACATTTCGCAGTCTGGCTGCAATGATTTGACTCTTAAATCAAAGAAGTATCATTTATTTTGGAAGGTATCCTTGGGATTAATTATAAAACCTACCGTTCCCATGCCTTCATAAGAACTAGTCACCTGACCAAAGAAAACAGGAAATGTTGCCCATTTCGCTAACTTGATGTCTTTAATCCTGAAGGTGAGCCCTGAAAGAATATTGATCATTTAAAATGTTGGAAATTTATGCATTATTACTATAATCTTTAGCATATGTTTTTCTTATTTTAAATATTTATTATTATTATTAAATCATATGCCACTTAAAAAACGCTTGAACATGCTGAGTGTGCACATAATAACTATGTAGCRAAGCTAAAGCTGTGGGATTAAGAATTATTATAAGAGGCGAGAGTTATGTTGCAAAAGGAGGGCATCTATTTTAACTCACTTCTGGCCAGGACCTCAGGTTATCAATAAAATTGGATTTATTTCGTTAGAGACGGAGTGGTGAAAGAAAACAGCTGATCTGAGAGAAAATGTTATCCAATCAGAAGCGAGAAAATTTGAGGTTTCACTTTTCCTCTTGAAATTATTGATTTCCAGGTCACCAAATGAAAAAAAAAGACAGGCTGATGATGAGAGGTTGACAATGATAAAACAATTACTAATGAGTTTTATATTTTTATTGCAATGGTGCGTCAGGTTTTTAACTTTCATTGGTCAATTTTCACAGGCTTTTCTACATCATTTCTACGTCACTATTTCAGATCAGCTGGAAGGGGAAAAAGTGCCTATAGCATCTTGTTCCTTTTGGCACTCACCCTCCCCTCCCCCATCCAAGTTACTGTATATGCATTCCCTAAGATAACATTTGGAAGTTTTACTTACCACTCAACATATATCCCAGAACAGATGTAAATGCAATAAGCAAGGAAACATTAGAAATAAAACTAACAGGTCCAAGCTTTCTCACACGTCGAATAAAAGCCATCAAAATCAGAGGCAGGACTGGAATCAGCACTAATATAGCAAAAGTGGGTGCAGTGCTCTTAGTGTCAAGGTGATAGTCAGTAGAATTGTGAGCCTGCGATGAGTTGACATTTAGCAACGTGTTAACTGGGAATAATGATCCAATAGTGTTGCCGATGAATATCAAATATCCAATACAAAATCCAAACTGTGTCGCAAGTAAGGAAACTTCAACAAGAACCACTCCTAGCTTGCCCAGAGCTATTCGTCCAATATCACCATACATTACTTTTTTCTCTGTCGCATCTCGTATTTCTTCTAACTCTTCTTCTGAAGTGCTGGGGTCTGTGTATTTTGGGTTTGACAGTAAAACTTTCTTGACGGCAGCTTTTTTGCATTTTATTATTAGATGACTGCAATGATCTGTTGCCATAGCAATCAGTATCAACCCAATGCACCCCAACTGTAATCAAAATTTAAAAAATGCGTGACGACAAGGTAAAGAAAACAAGCAGTCAAAAATAAGGTTCTGGGGAGAGGGGTCAGGCAAAAATGTTCACATGTCTATCTTTACCAGTAGGCCACTTTGTCTGAATGCAAACGGCAATGCTATCCAATTGGTTCCAATAAATGACTTGAAAATGTTGGCAAAATCTGTTATCTGACGAAAAACCGTCGGCCTGTAGACAAAAAACAAAATGAAAATTTATGTCAAGATAACGATGGCAACTTTTGGTTTCAAAAGTAATGTTTCACATCTAATGCTGTAAGCTAAAACAATCCTTAATACAACAAAGACAAAGTTAATTATCTAATTCCCTGCGACCAGAGTCTCTTTTTCTCCTTACTTTTCTGCTAGCAGGGAAAATATTTAAAATTCTATGACATCATTTGGCATTTCGGAGTCGACATTTTATTCAGTAATACGAGATGTACCGATAATATGTATGGACAAGATGAATTTTCCATACACTACTAGTCATTTGATATTTAATTTTCGCTTCGAGGATGAAAGTGCAGTAAGAAATTARGCATGGATTCGGTATAAGAGAGAGCGAAACAGGATACAAGTAACTTACTTTCATTTAAGACATTCCTCAATTCGATGAAACATATGTGATGGCGTTTATGAAAAGGCATTTAAGAGTCAATAATTCTGTTCCTAACTCGTCTAACGCTAAGCTAAATTCTTTAAATGATAAATCTTAAAAGGAAAATCAAGCTACGAGAAAAAGTAGAGTATAAACGAAGGGGAATATTTTTAGAGAAATTATCCTTATGCTCACCTGATCACCGTTACTCCTGTTGCAACAGAGGGGACACTTTTATACCTTGTCATTGCAAATAACAACCAAATGACTACCGTAATTATTAGTTTATAGCTTAATCTTTACTATAAGTCTTTACACTTAACTGATCTTATTCTGAAGTCAATTTTTCAAGTCAAACTTTAGAGGAYTTTTCAAGCTTCCTACTGGCTTTTTTCTTCACAATGTTTTCTGGGAAGGTAGATACGTACTTCCGGTTTAGTGCTGAGAATTGGCCAATCAGAACGCTTTATCATGGTAAAACCCCACGTGTTGGGAAATCCCCGAGTTGTGACACTATGCCGTAGTACGCGACTTTAGACCATCATATATTTAACAAATAAAACAGCTTTTTCCGTGATCCGTTCAGTAATAAACCAGGAAGCGGCGTAAGCATGAAGTGTCTTGAGTGCTTACAGCGCTTCATCATCGCTTTATCACTGAACTTAGTCTCCTACGCAGCCGCTATTAGTGTCTTCACGCAACGCTCACTCCCCTAAGTAGGGGAGTGAGCGTTGCGTGACGACACTAATAGCGGCTGCGTAGGAGACTATAATGCAATGAACTGAGCATGGAAAAAGCTGTTTCATTCGTTTTATATGTTATATAGTTACTAAATTTTTTCTGCATTATATTCATTTACCAAAAAAAAAAAAAAAAGGGGGATCGCAGGATCTAGCAGCACCTTTGCAGGCTCGGATGGCATCAGCACTGTGCACCGTTCATCCAATAAAGCAGTTTTCCACCAATCAGCGCGAGTACTAATGGTTTTCAGCTGCTCTAAAAATCCCTTTAACAATTTTTCCTTCAACATTTTCTATGAAACTGTAAGTATTTTAACATGCGAAAATAACAGAGTAATTGTTTTCTGATAATTCTATTGATTTCCTTGTAGTACTCGGTTTTCCATCATGCTTTGTGCTAAAGATTTATTGCTCGTGCACATTGGCTATTATCACACATATTCTTTTCCAGGATTGCAATAACACCCATACCAAGGTTAGAGTATTACATTCCTCATTGCGGCATCCCTGTGGAAATCTACAGACCAAATTAATTTACATTGATTGATCAATTAATTAATATTTGTTCRACGTACAGTTATGCTACCATAGGGAAATGACAAAAAAAGGCTTTTCATACAAGTATAGAATTCTTTATTTTATATTAATATGGTATAATATTGCACGCAGCAAAACAAAAACTATAACATAACTGAACTAACACTACAGCAGCTAAACAACCCTCACCATTTAATCATTTTGATAATAATACCAAATTTTGTCAAAATATTTATTTATTTATTTATATGCTATATTGTTTARATATTATTAATATATAATGGATATAATCTTGAATATGGCTCACCCCACGTGGGTTCTCCTTTCGTCCAAGTGGTAGAGGTCATCAGCATTTAGTTTTGAAAATGACCTCTAAAATGTATACTGAAGAGAGCTGTTGAAGCCATGTTGATTTCAAACCCTAAAGGTACAACTGACAGTATATGATTGAAAGTGTTCTTTTATGTTTGTTCAATAAAGAAAAAAATTATTATTGACCCTTACGTAATACCATATCAGTTAAAATTTTGAGTTGGAACCCCTAAAACCTTAAAGGTTCACAGAATCAATATTTTTTAACCCTAAAAGAGCTGCTGATCACCCTACCACTTGGACAAAGGAAGTACTCTCCCCCCCCCCCCCCCCCCCCCCCCCTCCTCCCAGGGTGGAAGACTCTTGAGAGTGAGATAAATTTTAGGTCATCAAAAATATGTAGCATAAACAACCAATTGTGTTTCTTACCCATTCTATGGTTTCATTGGTACCCAAGCTAGACCAGAATGCATTTCGTTTGTCTAGTTGAGAATGTCTGGACTTCACACACAAGCAGTTCATCACRTGTAAGTTGATTCTTTCTCTCAAGGCCAACAGTATCTCAGAATTTATCCATTCTTTCTAATTATATCCGTAAGAAACTAGCTGCATGATAAGATAGATAAAGTATTTTTGGATATATGTGTATATTTTAATTAAATATGCAAATTTATTCTTAATTTATTGACCCAAAATAAAKTATCATAATTAACTTAATGATGTAGCTAGTACTAAATTAATATGTGATATTTTAAATATTTCATAATTATTTTACAAATTATTTGTTAACTTAGAATATTTAACAGTTAAATTATTATAAAATTATAGTATATGATGATAGATAAATTAATAATGTCAAGAGTGATTTTACTTGGCCTGCGAAACAAAATTGTATAATTTGTGACTGAAAATCCAAGCATAACATGAAAAAAAAATTTTTTTTTCCCCCACAGGCCACTAGTTACAATGCAATTTACCTTACCATGGCCACCCACTTTTTTTACCAATGCCGTTGAATCCTTTCTGCCAAGTGTTTTTKTCAATTTAAAAGGGACCAAAATTGGTATCACCTAGGCAACTTTCTAGCTACATGTATCTACTTTAAGTTTTTGTTGAAAAAAGTACGCAATAATTTCAAATATTTGAGGTCAYGCTGAGTGAGTTCACGTGAAAATGCACAAATTCTCACTGTCTGATTGGCTAACTAGTAAAAACAGTTGTGTGGCCACAGTTAGGCACGTCGCACTGTAAATCACTCTAGTGTCTATAACCAGCACTTTTTTAAACCAATAATATAAGCTAAAAGATTTACCCATTATGAGTCAATATAATATAATTTAGTTTAGAAATATTCTATAAAACAAACAGATTTCTTGAAACGCATCTACGCCAAGAGTCGAGACAGTTAAAATGTTATAATATTATATCATAATATAGGTATAAATCATCATGATAAAACAGTAACAGTGCCAATTAAAAAACTTCTAAGCAATTAAAACTAATCTTTTCATCATGTCTAATTATAATCGGTCTTTCTTYGTGTTGCAAGATGACTATTGTATTCTGGGTTAGGGTTATTGTATTGCAGCTGGGTATTGTTTAGCTCCAAACTCATCGTTCTCTGCTATTGTTTTATTGTTTTCATGGCTCAGGTACCCTGTATCACCAAGAAAGAGCCATTATTATTTTATCCCTTTTATCTTAGGCATATTGTTTTCCCACTTCAGACCACGTCTTTTCCTAGAGTACTGTACATGGATTTGTACATGGATTTGAATACAACTCAAATGARAAATCTTATTCTAAAGAGATTTGACATGTGGTCTTAAATGGGAAGCATTACATCCAAGCCAAAGAATTTTTATGCTTGCACCTAAAATAAGCCTTAAAAAATAAGATTTGTGTGGGCATTTTGCAAGCATATGACTGAAAAGCAATGTCAAATTGCTTTTTTTCTCTTATGACTCAACTAACTGAAAATAGCTGATTAAAAATCAAAAAATACTTTTTCTTCAGAAAAAATACTACCAAGTTTTTCTTTTAAAATTATCTTTCTTAAAGTAGCCATAACTAGGGCATGTAGTCATTCAAATTCCTTTTGGGCCCGATCCACAACGAATAGTAAAAGACTCTAGAAAAATCTAAGATTCAACTGGAAACAGTTTTTCTGTTTCTAGCTTAATTACTTTTGGAGCTCATCTTTGTCACCGCATGCCGACAGGATTATCTGACTTAAAGTAGGTGACTGTATAGAAGGAATTACTTCTTTAACCAGACTTATTAGGAATGCTTTCAGATGACGTCGATTGCATAACATCTGATTTTCTGTGGGGACTTCGGCATTCTGCGGCCAGCTTTAAAGACCCCCTAAGTGCACCAGCAATGTTTTCCAATGAACTTTTCAACTTCATAAACACTTCCTTTGTGACATCGTCATTAGTTTTGTCACAAAGATGAGTAATGATATTAATAATTTCCTCCAACTCCCCCAGAGCCTGCTTCAAATTTCCGACACTTTTATCCCACTGCAGCAAAACATGGTGACTTTTCTTCTTTTCTTCAACTACGCAACCTTCAACTATGCAGCGTAGATCTTTCTCCTCATCTAATTCAACTTGCTTTTGGTGTAACAGAAGCATTTTCTTTTGCAATTCAATTCTTAAGTCTTTCAGTTCACTCTCTAAATTTTTCTGCGATGACTTCTTAATAGGTGGATTCTCTTTCCACTTTGTGATAGCTGTTATTATTTTTCTTCTTGGCCCAAACAAAGTGATTCCTATTTCTTTTAAATCTGCATCAGACAGAGTAAGTAGAGTTTCAAAGTCTACTTCCTGCTCTTCAAAAATTGATAAATATTTGGTTAACTTGAGATCTTGGAGGAACTCAGACACCATGGGGTACTCTGGAGTATCAGGCTGAGATCTCCATCTAGTCGGAGAAGAAATAGGACAATCTAGCCTCTCAAAGTTTTGATTTATGCTACAGCTTTTTACTGTATCACCACTATGTGCAAAAAAGTGTTCCTCAAAGCTGTTTGAGTTGGCCCCATTTCTTTGGCTCTGCGGTATCAACTGAGGACTAGAGGAAGGGATTGTGTTTGCTTGAGTTTCTTTTCCTTTGATATTGATAGCTGCCTGATTGACTTCATTGGGATGAAACGGGTGCCTTGAATTCAAGGAATWTTGTTTGCTTGTTCGTAATGAAGCAAAGGCTTTGGGTCCATCCTTAATGCCGATCCCTGGAGAGCCTTGTCCAAGCTGGAAAATCAGTGTATCTCTAGCAACTGGGCTAGTGCCGAACTCTGGATGAAAGATCAAGTCATCAGCACCTAAACCAGCTTCACTCCTTAGCATATATGTCGGCACATGCATATATGATTGCATATCAATCAAGTTGACAATCGCCATGTGACCACATTTTAATGCAATACTAYGTGCATCTTCTCCTGTTGTCGTTTTAGCACTCAGTTTTGCACCTGACTTTAAAATAAGGTTGAAAATTCCTTCATGGCCTTCTTGTGCTGCATAGAGTATTGGAGTACAATYGTGTAGATTCTCTCTGAAACAGGAAAAAGGATTCCTTATCAGATCAAATGATACAGTTAAATATAGAACTTATCTCAAAGGAATGCATGTCTCTACCTGTCCCTCTACATGCTGAGAATTTCATTTCTATAGGAGTTCAAGGCAATCATCTTTCCTTTTATTAAGGTTTTTTCTTTTTGCTTTTATTTATCTTTTTCTCTTATTTTTTAGGGAGGAAAGGAGAGAGGTGTTAATGAATATGAAAACTTAATGGAAACCCTGCCTGGACTCTCCGGCTAGCTCATAATTTTTCCTATTTCTATTTCAAGATTTAATGAAAACCCTGATCAACCTAGACAATATTTCTTAGGAAAAATTGTTGGTCAACCATTGTGGATGTTACCTTTTTTCCATGTCTGCACCAGAATCAATGAGCATCTTGACTACATTTTGGTGACCTTGGAAGACAGCATAAAACAAAGCAGTAAAACCATTTCTATCCATAGCATTAATATCAGCTCCATTTTGAAGAAGAAAGTAAACAACGGCCTCATTGCCACAACTCGCTGCTAACATCAACGCTGTAGCTGCTTTATTCGTCGTTCTTGCATCTACATTCACTTGATGCTCAAGTAAAAGGTTCACTATATTTTCGTGCCCAACATAGGCTGCATACATCAGGGGTGTCCATCCCCCTTTATTGATTTTGTCCATAATTTTTTTATCACTATCTAATTTTATAAATTTTCGTACCACATCGTATTCACCCAGAGATGAAGCAGTGTAGACGTCCATTTGAACTACTTCATCGTCTATCCATGGAGCTACAAAATCGGAGTTAAAATTGTGGCTAAGTTCGAGTATACTACTGTGGTCCGTCATTTTGAATGAAAAGTGTGCCGCGTTCACCGGAACTGTCTGTGTGGTTAGAACAACTCAAGGTATTGTATTTATAAAATACCTTAGCTGATTAAAATCGTAATTCTTCGGCGAATTTGTCCTTGATCTTGATGTGGATAGATTTGTAGAGAATTATACCTCTTATTGTTCCAATGTTTTTGCGTATAATTATATGATTACTAATTTAAACCAACGCGTTCCTTTGGCAACTCGACGATCAGCTTGGACGAACACCGACAAAAACAAACAGAATRTTTTTATCCAGTAAGTTTTGTCTCTTGATTTTCTGTTTTGTTCTTCTTCTAGTAGTGTTGGAGATTTCTGCTGATGTTTTATGGATCGCAGGAGAAAGTGTGGAGCGCAGCGTTTTTGAGTAAAGAATATCGAATATAAACTTTCGTGCACGCAATCAAGACGCCATATTGGATTAACTGAGAAGGGCATTGTGGGTAATAGAAATATTCATTCATTTATTCTTTCTTTCTTTCTTTCTTTCATTCGTTCGTTCGATAAATCTAGGTTGGTTATTGGATCGATCACTCACCCTTTTTTAATGTATTTTCTTTTATTTTGATTCAGCAAATCTTTGGAATGGCTGTTACCATTTCTCAAGATAGCTGTTAGTTACGACCAAGAGAATATGAAGTAAGAGAGCACATCTCATATCTTCATATTCTCTTGTTACGACATTTCCACTTCCATTCTCTGTGCACCCTCCCTGCAAGACCTTTGGTTACGCCCCTGAATTGATCTCTTTTTAAAGTTCATTTGCTATGAAAAAAAATGATTTCAGGATTTTTACTTTTTCATTTAATAAAACAGGACCATACTTCCAGACATCGAGTGCTGAACCGTCGTATGGCAGCGCGAAGCATTTACGGCTACGCCGGAGATTTCGGCCCCGACACCGCTATCCGGAGAATTACAGACTGATCAAGAAGCTCGACCGATGCCTAAGGGAGAGGTTAGTTGGCCCCTAAACCGTAGATGATTAACCCCTTAGCGGCTAGAAATGTTATTTAACTCGTCTTCATTCAATTTTGATAAGACTCAAGGGCGTAACCAAGGAGAGTGCATTGGGTGCACTCCCCCCCCCTCCCCCACCGCCTACACCCAACAAAAGCTGAAGGTCCGCTGATTCATTCATATTTTTTTGCCATTTTTCCATCTGCAAATTGTTGTGCATTTTAATTATCACTCACCCATTATTGGATTTTTCTTTCTATTTTGCCTCTGCAAATTTTGGGTTACTTAGTGGATCAATCATTCACCTTTATTTTTTTGTTTTGTTACTGAAAAAAAAAACAAAAAACAAAACAAAACAAAAACACCTTAATTGTAATGCTATACCATTTCTCATGACGGCTGCTAGTTTCGACATAGTTCCATTTGCCTGTGTACAGTACGCACCCCTGGTTACGCCTCTGATTTGTTTTTACTTTACATTATTGCTTTTTTTATTTCTATACGTATGGTTGTTTTTATTGTTTTTAGTTGTTTTACTTTATGTGTCAGTTGTTTGCCTTTAGTCGTTGTTGTCTTTACTTACTCTACTTTTGCTTTTATAATCCTTTGTACGTTTACAACGAACTTTAAAACGGAAAAATGGAGAATATTCTCAGTTCCTTTATCAATATCAACTAAACCGCCGGCACTCAAAAGAAAAGCAAATACTCAAGATTTTGAATTGTTACCGGAAAAGAAGACATTTGAGAAGAGGTTGCGCTCGGTTTAACATATAAACAACTTGAAACTTTGAACAGCTGCTTAGTACCAAAATCTTTAAGTCTTTTTTTAGAATTCGAGTCATTACTAGTAATCTATTGCCAAGTTCAATATAAATGAAGAGCCGCTATGCTGAAAATGCGAAACTAGATCATTAATTGCTTTTTAGTTAATTATTAATTTATTATTATTAGTTTATTAATTAATTAATYAATCAAATTTATTTTTTACTAATTATAGTTCTTAAGGTTCAGCCGGGGGAGGGGTGGGGGTTTCGGCGTTTGCACTTATTTATTTATTCTCTCATTTGTTGTTTGATAAATTTAATTATTACCAGTTTCCGAAACTTACTTTCTTTTTTTCTTTCCTTCCTTCTTTATTACTTTTTCCCTCATCTCAGTTTTTCTTTCCTCTTTTGTATAAAAATTACTTTATACAAGAATTGATTCATAATTTKCGCTGCCTACATTTAGTTGTGAAGATTTCTTCCAAAATTTCACAAGATGAACACCTGTACTAACATATTGTCACACTGGTGTGGGAAAAGTAATTTAAAGTTTTAGTTTCATTTTCATGTGTTTCTTTCGAGGTTCTGTGTCGCAGCCATCATTAATTTCGGTCCCAGTTGTAGCCATTATTTCAGTTGGGAACGTCCCAAAACAGCATAGTTTTTGTCATCATTTTGAATAAGCCTAAAGCGAGATGACGTTTTACCCCCGTCTCTAGACCATAATCCTTTTCACACTGCTTTTGTTCTTTAATTATGACTATTGTTCCTGTNTAATTTAAAGTTTTAGTTTCATTTTCATGTGTTTCTTTCGAGGTTCTGTGTCGCAGCCATCATTAATTTCGGTCCCAGTTGTAGCCATTATTTCACTAGGAACGTCCCAAAAGAGCATACAGTTTTGTCATCATTTTTAATTCGCTCTACGATTTGAAATCTATTTGGACATGTTTTTCAAGTATTTTTTTAGCCCAGACTTCTTCGTTTCTCTCGAAACACAGTTTGAAATCTTTATTTCCCTTCTTTTAGAAGGGAAAAAGGATTGAAAGCGGTTACTAAAAGGTTTTATAGTATGCTGAACAACTTGTATATCTYATAGAGAAGACAGTTCTTTCTCAGAAGCGGTCTAGCTTTGTAGCGAAAAAAAGAAACTGTTAAGTTTCCTTAGCAGGGAAAAACGATTAAAAGTGTTACCAAAAAGTTTACATTTCGTTTTATTTCATACAACTTGTATCTTTCATCAACAAGAGCTGCACAACAGTTCTTTAACACACTTTCTGAAGCGGTTGCTTTGTAGCGTATAGACAAACGGGTTGACGCTGCTGTTTAAGCACGTCAAGGCAACGGATGCTTTGTACAATATAGAACCRTACTGCACGTAGGTCGGAGAATGAAACGAAATAATGTAGAGTACAAGAATAGGCGTCCAGCAAACRGTGTAGATAGCAGTAACAGTAACGCATAGTTTAGTGGCTTTTCGTTTGGAGAGCTGTGCTGCTGATAAATGGTTAATTTGGCTGGACGAATTTGAACGCGACCGACCAAACCAAAGCGCGCGAACTATTCTTATATACAAATACCCCATGATAGGGATTGGTAGCAGTCCTCCATATAGTAGCCATAATATCCCATAAGCTCTAGGGAGGAAATTTTCAGGCCATTTTTCGACGCAGAAATCTTGAGTCTCGTCATACTYCATGACGAGGAAGAGGGGAAGGTTCAGCAAAATTGTGAAAATCCAACAACTTGTGAGAAGGAACGGTAGTTTTGCTGTAGATATACGTCGATCATGTCGATGGGGATAGACTACAGCACAGAAACGATCAACTGCAACTAAAAGAAGTGARAAAACAGACGCTGCTCCACCGACCCAAATCAGTACACCACCGGATAAAAACTTGCAAAGGAAGTCCCCTTCAATACCTGTTGGATGACGGAAGGCGTGACTGAAAACGTAGCGAGGAAGCACAAAAACTGCCARTAATATATCCGAAATTGCCAGGTTCACTAAAAGATAGTCCATGGCTGTTTTGCCTAGAGTGAATTGGAGCTTGAATCGTGTTTTTAAGATCACTAAACAAACCAAAGTATTGCCAAAAATGTCAATCAAAGCAAACAGAGAAAACGCTAATGTTAAAATGACTTCTGTGACTTCCATAATTCTTTTACCTCAGCGCCAGTTCAGAACAATCATTCCGGTTTTCGTTTTAAGCTAGTTTTACTCTTGGTAGTTSCGGAGCAGCTCTTCAAATAAATATAAGAATGAAAACAGGTGTTCAAGTTTTAAATAAATACTTTGAATATTTATGWTTACCGCCGCTTTTGCGAGCCTCATGGATATGACATGATCATAACAGGTCAACATCATCATATAGATGGCTTTCAAATGGCAAGTCAACAAATTGAGCCAAACTTTAATTTGCCCATCTAATTAATCTTTTTTCAATTTTACTTACTTAAGAACATTTAAAAGCTTATTCTAGATTACTAGATCTATATTTCTAAATCGACCCGGAAAAAAACAAAAAGTTTATTTCATTTGATTAAAAAATAATAATGAATTTTTTAGTTCGCATAGGATTTTATAGACATACTAAATAAGGYAATTGAAAGAAAGCATATTATTAGGTTTATGAAACTGATATTAATATTAATCATATCCTTTTTGTAATCACCACCAAATCCTCCAATCTGAT